AGTGTACAGTTGTTATGTAACATCTTCACCAGTTTGCCTTTGACATTCAAAGCGCTGTAAAGATTATACTTGCAAACACTTCTCAATATAATTCTTAAAATTGACCTCTCAACTGTATTTACTGTATAAACTTTGGTCTCTCATATGATAATACCAGTTTTTAGCAATATCTATCTTTCTATCTATCTATCGCGGCATCGTTTAGGAGAACAACATAAGCACAAATCTCACCAAAACATGGTTTTCCGTCATGTGCATTGATGAGGTGTGCAGGAGGGAACTGTAAAACGAGAGCAAAGGACTGTGTTTAATTTCAGGGGACCAGAGGTTAGGAAAGGCAGAAGGAAGTACCAGACACTAGGGAATAGTATACATGCTAGAGTCAATGCCAAGATTGAAACTTCAGAACACTGCGCTGTCCCTCAAGAGCAAAGTCCTCAAGACTAGTCTTATCTGATTTGAGCTGCTGGACGCTAATGAGCAGGATCTGACTCACACAAAACAAGAGTTGTAAATATCATACATAAATGCACGTGGTTAGGCATGTGCTACTGACACATCATGCAAGGTTGTGTGTTTTATAAACGGAAATAATAGACAAATGGGGCTTGCTGGTGCCACTGAAACTATAAACCACTAAAAACGCCCTCCGAGGCACAAACTCAGGAAGAAAGGCGTGGTCGCTGTAATTTTTTTTAAATGTCCCCATGCAGTTTACAATAACAGTTCCTAGAAAGTATCCCTGTTTCCCACAAAAACAGATTCTCTAGCTCCCTCAGCTTCCTTGTTTCCATAGCGCCGTCTGTTTTGGTGCAACTGCTTGTATAGCGGAGAGAAGTATTTATGGGAACATTTTAATGAGGATGTGCCCGCAAGATCATTTTAGGGAGGAGAAAAAATACCTGAGAGCATTTTCAACTCCCTCTTTGTGTGTTCCCACATTGCAGCAATGAGGACTATCTAGTAAATGTGGCTTTCTTTTCTGTCACTAGGTGGGGTAATATCGTACATCGGCTCGTGTGGAGGCTCTCCCAACCGCACCAGCCCTGTGTTCATGTACAGTGAGAATTCCAACAGCAGCCTACAGTCCCTTACACAACCATGCTTTGGCTCTTCGTTCCCACCATCCCCCAATGGATCCCATGATTTCTCACGTATGTACACCAGTAGCAACAGCAGCAGCAGCTCGAGTTCAGGATCAGGAGAGGACGGAAACTCATCATGCTCTGGTGGATCCCCAAGAGGCCGCGAAGATGGTGGAAGTGCACGCAATTCACCCAACAAATCAGTTGCCACCCTTACTAGTAAGCAATAAAAAACATATTTTACCTGAATAATGTATAGTATGGTATCCAGGAGAAGGATTATAACATCTGGCTTTCCACCCAGAGCTGAATGGAATGGTGTTGCTGTGCAAAGTGTGTGGCGACGTGGCATCCGGTTTTCACTATGGTGTCCATGCCTGTGAGGGATGCAAGGTAAGACAACAGCATTGATTTACATACACATGCACCATTAAAATAGTGTTGATTGCATTAAATTTTTTTTTATCTTTTAAGAAGTTTATTTAATTTAGTAATTGTAAATATTTCATTTTTTTATAAAGAAGCATTAATTGGAAAAAAGAAAAGAAAAGAAATAACATTTACGTTATCTGCTTTGTCTGTAGGGTTTCTTTCGACGCAGCATCCAGCAGAATATCCAGTACAAAAAGTGCCTGAAGAATGAAACCTGTACCGTTATGAGGATCAACCGGAACCGGTGCCAGCAGTGCCGTTTCAAAAAGTGTCTTTCTGTGGGAATGTCCCGTGACGGTAAATATCTATACAGCCAAACTTAGAGAAATACAGAGAAACAGTTACAGAAAAATGTAGGGATGCGCCAATATTAGAATTCTGAATGCTACAGATAAGCCGATATCTTTCAAAATGTTATAACCAATAAATACAGATATTAAAATTAATACAATTTATTTACTTTATTTATACTATTTAAACACATGATTGTACAGTATAACAATTTATATTAACTCTGATATTTGCTAAATATTACACTTAAAAGTAATATTACTAATATTAGTATTAATATTAAACAATATTAAAAGTAAAATATGTTTTTACATTATTAGTGTTTGTTTGTAAGATTAACTTTGAAGCAAAAGATTATGGCTAAAGTAATGTAAAAATGGGATAAAATGAGCACACACACACAACTACATATCCAATATCAGCTGATACCGATAGATTAAAAATAAAAATTTCACCCGATATCTGATATGGAACCATTATATCCTACATCCCTTGAAACTTTTCTAAACAGAGCATTGACATACAACATAAATATGATGAATCTGTGACATTTTCTGTCCTTTCTTAACCCCTAGCTGTTCGTTTCGGCCGTATTCCAAAACGCGAGAAACAGCGTATGCTGGCCGAGATGCAGAACGCCATGAACAACATGGTGAACAACCAGCTTCAGAATGAATTCCAGCTGGCGAGCATCACATCCAACACCCCCTGCTCTTCCTCTTCCTCATCTCCGTGCCCGGGGCTTACCGTGGGACCGCAAGCCCAGCCCCCCGCAGTGCCCATAGCACCGTCCCCTTCCCCTCCGACCCCAACCTCCCCATCGGTGCAGCCTGCTCAGAGTCCCCCATCTCTGACTTCTTCTCCACCACCGTGCTCCAGTCCAGGTGTAGACAAAACCATTGCTGCCATAACCAGAGCACACCGTGAGACCTTCGTCTACGCCCATGATAAGTTAGGTCCAGCACTGCTGCCCCAAAACGATGAGCTGGATAACCGAAGCAGCAACCGCTGCATGGCTGGATACCACCTCAGTGGCCACAACACCATCTACCACCATGATAATAATGTCGCTCATCACTGTAACAACTTCGAGGTGCCACCAGACAGTGGCCTCCATTTTCAAGCCTCCCAAGCAGCTGGGCAACATCACCATCTCCGTGCCCGGGGCTTACCGTGGGACCGCAAGCCCAGCCCCCCGCAGTGCCCATAGCACTGTCCCCTTCCCCTCCGACCCCATCCTCCCCATCGGTGCAGCCTGCTCAGAGTCCCCCATCTCTGACTTCTTCTCCACCACCGTGCTCCAGTCCAGGTGTAGACAAAACCATTGCTGCCATAACCAGAGCACACCGTGAGACCTTCGTCTACGCCCATGATAAGTTAGGTCCAGCACTGCTGCCCCAAAACGATGAGCTGGACAACCGAAGCAGCAACCGCTGCATGGCTGGATACCACCTCAGTGGCCACAACACCATCTACCACCATGATAATAATGTCACTCATCACTGTAACAACTTCGAGGTGCCACCAGACAGTGGCCTCCATTTTCAAGCCTCCCAAGCAGCTGGGCAACATCAGCAGCACAATAACAACAGCCAGCGACCTCCAAACAGTAACCTCTTTGGCGTCCACCACAGTCAGGAGATGAACAGCAGTTCCCAGGGGCAGAACTGTCCGTGGAAAAAACGCAAGGAGATTCTGCTGGTAAGACCTTTGATATTTAAATCAATGACTCTAAAGGTGATTACCAAGTAAATAAGACTTGGAAGTGACGACGATTCCTTTTTTCCAGGCTTGCCCAATGAACATGCATCCCTACTCAGACCCCAACAAAACACCACAGGAAATCTGGGAAGACTTCTCTCTTAGCTTCACCCCAGCAGTGCGAGAGGTGGTGGAGTTCGCCAAACACATCCCAGGGTTTAGCACGCTACCCCAGAACGACCAGGTCACTTTGCTGAAGGCCGGAACGTTTGAGGTAAGCTGATGGTGTTTTATATAAAACATCTGATTTGTGTCAAGACCACGATGCCAGTTTCGCCTTGATGGTTTTACTAAGTGTGTATTTGTTTTTGATTATCTCCTGCAGGTCCTCATGGTGCGCTTCTCCTCTCTGTTTAACGTAAAAGAGAGGACCGTAACGTTCATCTCAGGCACCACTTACAGCCTGGAGGCCCTGAAAAGCATGGGCATGGGCAATCTGCTGGGAACCATGTTCGACTTCAGTGAAAAACTCAACGCATTAGAGCTCTCAGCGGAAGAACTGGGACTCTTCACTGCAGTCGTGCTGGTGTCTGCAGGTAGGTTGCATACTAGTGTTAAAGGGAAAGTTCACTCAAAAATGAAAACTGTGATCATTTACTCGCCCTCATGTTGTTCCAAACCCATAAGACTTTGGTTGATGTTCGAAACACAAATTCAGATATTTTTAATGAAACCTCAGAGGTTTCTCTTCCTCCATTGAAAGTCTATGTAACCAAAACTGGGAAGATCCAAAAAAGTAATTGTAAAACTAATCCATATGAATTGAGCAGTTTAATCCAAGTCTTTTGAAACAATATGATCGCTTTATATGATGATTTATGACCTTTTGGTTACCTGGAACTTCAATGGATGGACAGAAATCTCTCGGGTTTCATAAAAATGTCTTAATTTGTAAAGATCAACCAAAGCCTTATGGGTTTGAAACAACATGAGGGTTGATAAATGACAGAATTTTCATTTTTGAGTGAACTATACCTTTAAAGGGATAAATCAAATCATGTCATTCCAAACCTTCAAAAATATCTTTCTTCTGTGGAACACAAAAGTACCATAGTTTGATCTACAAATGAATTCAATCTGTCATTGTTTGTTTCTGTTGCACAGACCGTTTTGGCATTGAAAACGTGAATTCAGTGGAGATGCTTCAGGAAAGTTTAATCCGGGCTCTCCGAACCCTCGTCAGCAAGAACGCCCCTAATGACGCCTCCCGATTCACCAAGCTGCTGCTCAAACTTCCTGACCTGCGCACGCTGAATAACATGCACTCAGAGAAGCTGCTCTCTTTCCGAATTGACGCCTGAGGTTGCAAGAAGCTGGTGAAAGTGGGTCACTGAAAGACAGAACGGGCACAAACATTAAAACTCTTTTCCAAGAGAACCCTCCAGAAAGCAAACTCATGCCTTTGGCACTTAAAAGCACTTGACGACACATTTAAAGGGACGCTTTGGTGTCTAATGGTCGGTCAGTAGCCTTTATGGCTTGATAACCATATAGGGCAGATTAAAGAGCCAATTTCAGTACTTACCTGAAATGGGTGGTAAGATTAAGCTAATAATAAAGCAGACAAAAACACTCACATTTGGACTGCATCTACATGGGGAACAAGTGCAAAATGCCTCTTGCAAGGAGTCACAGCCAGGCCACTTCCAGAGAGGGGATGACAGCACAAAACCGTCAAGCGTCTCCTCGTACCCAGTCCTGCCTGGGTTCCTGCTATACCCACACTCAGAGAAAATTATGATCATTGTAACTATAATGCAAGCTATGCGTGGTATGAACATTCACATCCCTGTGACTTTGTAAAATATGTGTAAATATGATATACATACTTTAAATGTTTTAAAATGTATAATATATATATTTTTTTGTAATGTTCAAATGATCAACACAGATGATAAATCTATTCAAGCACAGATATATAAGTAGAGTGTATGCATATTATAGAATATCAAGACATGTATTTCAGTTGTTTTCTTCATAAAGGCATTTTATGAAACAAGAATGTAGTGTTTTATCTTTTTCAAGTAGATATCTGGAAAAAATATCTCTATGTAATGTTTTTAACTTGCATCTTGAATAAATGTTGGTTTATCTGTGTACTGAACACGTTTATTACATAAAGTACTATATATAGTATACTAGGTATACTAAGAAGTTGCTCAATGTCAAGAGAGCACTAGGTTAAGGTGGGTCCTCTAGTGGGAGCTGATGTGTGTATGTGTGTAATTATGCCAATTATTTTCCATAAGCTCTGCCATTAAACAGGACTGAGAATTTAACTAGTACTTCATGTTCAAAATTTTGGGATCAGTTCAATTTGAGAATACTTTATTCAGCGCAAAATAAAAGAAATAGAAAAGAATGTTTTTTATATTGCCTAAAACATCCAAAGTAGTTTGACCAATAACATCCAGGTATTGTTCATAATCGACCAATCGTGGTGCATCACACGTGAGAAGGTGAGAACGATCAAAGCGATGCAAATACGTGCACGTTCGTTCGTTCGTTCATTCGACTTGAAGCTGCGCACTGATCATTGTATGACACCAAAGTACCACGAGAGCGATTTGAAAGCATAAGGAGCCATCTGCTCTGCTCTCTATAGCTCGTGAAATAATGCCATACAACAATCGATCTGCACAGAACAAACAGCCAAAACCTGGATATTTTAGGCAATATAGAAATCCTGGCAAGGGTGTGTCCCGTAAAAATGGCCCATATGGTCACCCTATCCCACAGCCATTTTTGGTGAAGAAAAGTGGAAATTATTGGAAGTCTAAAGTGAGTGGATGGCTTACCTCAGCCCTCTGATTTCGTTTAGCTGTGATTCTCTCCTTCTCTTTGCACTCCTCTTTCTGAACAAGAATGAGATTTCATGTACAATACAACAGTAAGAATATGCAAGAGTGAAGCTCCATGTTTAGCTATCATTGTTTCAGTTCATGAGTTTAAAGCCACACAGCAACAACCTGCAATAAAACTGCTTTTTATCAGATTAATCAAATGCATAAATCTTATGTGCTAGACTAATCAGATAAAAAGCCATTCCTGAATTGAATGATAAAAGAAAGGCAGACAGAAAAAAGAAAAGTCTGACTACCTTTAGCTGCAGAATGGACAGTAGAGTCTCCAGTGTCTTCCGTTTACCCTGAAGCTCTTCCATGCGAACCCGGAGAGTGTTGATCAGCCCCTCCACCTCCTGAACTCTCTCTTGATATTCAGCTTTTAATGCCTTCCATGCAGAACGAGCTTCACTACCTGTGTGCCAACACACCCGATACAAAGCACCATTTCACAAATGTAGCAATGAACAGTCATATACAATAATCCATGATGTGTGAGTGTTACCTGGGTTTTGGGGACATGGCTCATTCAGCAGCTGATTCGCTGACTCTAGACCTGCCAGCAGCTGGATCATGTCATCCACCACACACAGCTGTCTGAATATATGCTTCTGTTTTCGCCTGCAGTCCTACGCAAACCATCACAGAACATAAAACTTCAATATTTCATTAATGTATATATATGTTTAATGTAAATAACTTTATACCACAGTACTACAGTTATTGTTACTACAATAAAACCATGGCAATTGGGTATTAGCCAATCCAATTAAAAAATAAATAAAATAATTTGAAGGAAATCCCAATTTATTGTTAAATAATGTTGAATTTTTTAAAAAGTTAGTTATGGCATAAACTACAGTTACACATAGCAGAAAACAAACTTACCATCAGATATGGAGCCATAATTTCTCCCTCTCCTGTTTCCTGCACTTCGGTGGTGTTGCATGATTTCAGGAAGGAAGGGTCAGTCCTTTCCAGAAGCCTGAAATATTATTTAGTGTTTATTAAAACTTATTTGTTCATATTTTATGCCCTTAAAAGCAAGGACCATAGAAAAAACAAACATCAGCCTGAGAATATTTGAGGCTTTCAATCTCTTGGGTAATTTTGTTTAATCCTCTGATTAAAGATTAAGGCCCGGGTTCACAGACAGGGCTTAAACTAAACCAGGATTAAGTCTTAGTTCAACTAGGGAATTTAAGTAGCTTTTATAAACGTGATTTAGAAAAAAACATTACTGGTGTGCATCTTGAGACGAAACAATAACACTGACAAATTGTATGATATGTCAGTGCAACTGGCTTTCAGTTAAAACAGCTCAAACATGCATTTTAGTCCAGGACTAGCTTAAAGGATTAGTTCACCCAAAAATAAAAAAAAATTCTGTCATTAATTACTCACCCTCGTGTCATTCCAAACCCGTAAGACCATCGTTCATCTTCAGAACACAATTTAAGATATTTTTGATGAAATCTGAGGGCTCTCTGACCCTCCCATAGACAGCAAGGTAACTACCACGTTCTTGTAGCTTCGTAACTTTACAGTTGAACCACTGATGTCACACGGACTACTTTATTGATCATCTTGGTAAATTTTCTGGACCTTGAACGTGGTAGTTACCTTGCTGTCTATGGGAGGGTCAGAGAGCCCTCAGATTTCATCAAAAATATCTTAAATTGTATTTCGAAGATGAACGAAGGTCTTACGGGTTTGGAACAACACGAGGGTGAGTAATTAATGACAGAATATTCATTTTTGGGTGAACTAACCCTTTAAGCCTTGTCTTGGAAACCGGGGGTAAATGTCTTAAATTATTTCATTAAAATGTTCTCGTGAAAGTTCATCGGTGCAGTATTTCAAATAGCGTGGGAGCATGTTGAATGTAAGTTACGCGGTCACAAATATAAAGAAGACAGTCATACAGATTTATGAGAACGGGTGTTTGGGTCTAACACCAAACACTAAATGGTTAAAAATGATTTAAAGATGCTTTAGAGGGTTAATGTAATCACTGTGGTGGCTCACACCGAGTGGCTGCCTTTTTATTGTAATAACAATAACTGTATTGATTAGGGATGCACGATATATCGGCCACCATATCGGTATCGGCCGATAAATGCTCATTTTTTCTGTTATCGGTATCGGCCCAATAAATTATCGGTTATCGGCCAAAATTTTCATATCGGTGCATCCCTAGTATTGATGATATTTTAGCGAAAACTACAGTTACAGCGGTGACTTAAGGTAACGTTAGACACACTTTTAGTTTTAGCGTTTAGCTGTCACCATCCAAATAACGACTTGCCAGAGAACTAATTTGATTCTAATAGCGACAGGGCATTTTAAACATATAAAGCACTATAAAATAATTCAAATATTTTATTAATTCCACATATGTCTTTATGGTTTGATAGACAATACTCACGCCTCAGTTCTCTCCGTCGCCATTTGTGTTTTGAAACTTACCGCCGAACGCTGATTGGTCAGAACAGAAGATGTCCACCAATCATTGATCTATAAATGAAACCTTTAGATGTTCATAAATAGGACATATATTTACAGCCAAATAACAACACATAGGTGTATTTAAAATATATTCACAACACTGCATAAATACTTTTTTATTTGTACATAGTAGGCTACTTAACCTAATTCATATTTTCTATTATCAATAGGCTAACAATGAGTTACCTCTTAATATGAGTTACCTCTTTTATATTTGTCTATTTAAACATAGACTTATACAGGAAATACAACTTTTATGCGTACATCAAAAGCGTTCTCATTTAGTATAAAGAATATTTAGTATAAAAAATAAAGTTAAGCAGTTGTATGTCCGCCGTTTAATACGACTAATCAATAAATATAATTAATAAAATACATAGATGCAAAAAAAAATTCAAAGATGAAGCAACAGTCAACTACTAGTTTGCGACAAACAAATAAACATCACATAAATACAATACAAAATGGAGTAATACTTTTTTTTATAATTCCCGGTGATTTCTGTAATAACTCTTTAAATATTTTTTATTAATCCGCTTCCACGATTAAACCGGAGGGGAGCAAAATTTCGTTTCTTCCTGGAAAAGCACTCAGGTCTCACTTAGCCTAATTGCACAACTTTCAGAAGACTTTTTTTTTCCCCTGAAGAAAATCATAATTTTCTAACGTCAACGCTTTCTCGTTTTTTCTAATTATATGAGGAGACCTGCCATAGCTATAATAGGCTTTTCAGCTACATTTATACAGTATAACAATTGACACACAAAACAATTTATACTTCAACTTTAGATATTCCAAATGCAATCAAAATGTATCCTGTTATCAATTAATTACATTTACATGAATTAATGTATTCATTTATAATATCATTTAAAATTATATTACTTTGTGACCTATAAAAATCTCATTATCTTGAGAACATAGGTCTACCCTTTTCTTTTAAATCTGCCTTCGCTGTAATTCTACGGTGTTAAAATCTTTAAGAGGTGTTTGAAACCAAAATACAAAACTATTTTTACAAAGTATAGTTGTGTAACTGCACTTTTGACTCGAAACCTTATATTTACTGAGATACAAATTAGTGACAACAAATCTTGGTCTAATTAGTTTACATGAATCTCGTAATCATATCAAAAACCATGCCAATAATTGCATTAAAATTACATTGAATATCTAATGATTAAATTCACTGAAGAACACAAGCGGTCAAGATTAAAAATGGTGCACTGTAATATAAAGCATTTTAAATTAGGATGAAAATCTAAGCTAAATGTGCCCAAGCAGAGACAAAAACACACAAATACAGTCCAGACACAAGACTTACACCGGTTTACTCATCTTTTATTGTCACATTCATATCTATGCTCTGTATTCTTTACAAGGAGTTCAAAACAATTGTGGATGAGAATCAAAGAAAATCAGGCAGGCAGAGGCTGAAAGTCCTGATAATGTCTGCGGCACCTGCTGTAAGAAGGGTGAAGGGGTAAAGGTGGTCTCCTTCCTCTCTCATCCTCCTAAAATGTGCCCCATTTAATTCAACAGACCTTCACTCTCCTGTTGCATCATTACAGGTGAAATGAAAGCATAAAAACGAAAACGATTTCAGCATCGTGTTGCTCTGTGCGGCCTGAAAAGATACTATTATGTTGCGGTTCACAGAGAAAGAGAGCAGATTCTATTGCAAACATAAGAGATACAATCCTATGTCATATTTAAAAAGCCATCAGAAATATAAATCAAACAGAAAGACGAAGAATTTGTAAGTTCTAAATAAAGTCAGTTTAATAATATTGAAGAAAAAAAAAAGAGATTGGATAGTGAATCTGACATGTTTATTTCCCCTCCCACATTTCCATTTCCAAATTCATCCTGAACAATTTCAAAAACAACTGAAGAAAAATCATCTTTGGAAGTAAAAGACTCCTATGCACTACAGAATATGGAGATGCTGCTACCCAGTTGCTTTATTATTATTGATTCATTAAGCTTAACATTTTCAAAATTAACTTTTTGTGTCCTTTTTAGTATTTATGATCTGTTCTATATCAGTTTGTCTTTATTCTAAGAGGTAGATCAACAAACAAACAAAAAAAAAACAAAAAAAAAAAAAGTAAAACATGGTTACAGGAGTCGATCCTTTTGATTCAGGCCGTGAAGTCATAAAATGGGACTACAGGTGGAGGACAGAATATTAGTAGAAGCTCCGGGCAGAATGTGCCATTTTGTTGCCGATTTAAATCGTTTCACCAAAAAAAAAAAATGGGGAGGGTTGTACTTCGGGTCAAGGCTGCATGGCATGGAGGTAGTGTGGTGCCATCGGACACAGAGGAAATAGCGCAACAGGCACAATTGTGGGTTTCGTCTACAGAGGTATCGTTAGTCACTCTACAAATGCTGGCCTAGTTACGCTTGTGCCATTAGTTTCATAATAGTCAGGTCTTATGGTGCGTCCAAGTCCTCCTGGGAAGTTTTTGCACTCTAAAACAATGCTGGATTTGACCCAAAGTTGAGTTGAAACAACCCAGCATTTTTTTTTTTTAGAGTGTGGGAAGTTATAATTACGATGTCAGGTGTGTTCAAGTCACTGATGGGTGCAACATTTTTTAACTTCTATAAATGATGTATAAAGAATGCACATCAGATGTGTTTTTTCTTTATGTTTTTATTCAATTTAAGAAGGTGCTGTAATCGTAATTGTACAATACTACTATATTTTGTACATGCGATCCATTGCGCCTGCAATATTTTGTCACCGACACGCCCCCAACTTGAAAACTCGGGGCTTAAATGACAATTTGCTGGAAAAAGTACACACCCTCAAGCCATCCAAGATGTAGAAGAGTTTGTTTCTTCATCGGAACAGATTTGGAAAAATTCAGCATTACGTCATTGCTCACCAATGGATACTCTGCAGTGAATGGGTGCCGTCAGAATGAGAAATCACTATAACAAGTAATCCACAAAGTAAAGCAATATTATGGATAGAAGACTTGCATTTCACAACAGTTTGAAGTTAAAAACGTCTTGATGGATTTAATCTTACAGACACACAGCTTCTCACGTCACAAGACTGTAACTGATGGACTGGAGTCGTGTGGATTACTATGATGTTTTTATCAACTATTTGGACTCTCATTCTGACGGCACCCATTCACTGCAGAGGATCCATTGGTGAGCAAGTGATGCTAAACGTCTCCAAATCTGTTCTGATGAAGAAACAACCTCATCTACATCTTGGATGGCCTAAAGGGTGTCTAAATCTTCAGCAAATCTTTGGGTGAACTATTCCAATAAAGAGTTTCCCACAACTTTGCGGTGGCGTTCCGACTTGACTTGAATGCACCATAAGTCACAACGTCGGGCGAATTTTACCTTAATTGTGCACTAACAGAATTTCACAGGTTCTTCGACGTTCCTCCTCCCGTGCAAACAATCACCCCACACATCCGTTTCCTGTCCTGCCACCTTGCCCCGCAAAGAGTCCCAGCTCTAAGCTGGAGTAGTATTCTATCCAGAAACGAAGAGCTAAAAATAAATTAAAACTCAAAAGTGAAATGTAACATGCACTTTCGCTCTCATCTGCTTGATAAAAACAATCTTATGGCTAAGTCTTGAGGTAGCGTTCCTAGTTATGTGAGGTTTGATTCGTCATTTGTAGCACCCAAATGTCTTCCTTAAGGAGAGGCCAGAAACTAGCATGGTGAGATACAACAGTGGCATGCAACGTCAATATGATGATCACACCCAACTAAGCTGCGCTTCAACCTGTGGTCTATGTGTAAATCTATGCACTGCAATGCAACTTTTCCCAGTGGACACTTAACAGTCCGTGAGACAAACGACAGCCATTCGTTTGACTCGTCACAGAATTGCATAAGTTAACAACATACTATCTCTTTTCGAAGCTCAAGTATGCTAAACGGTTCTACGGTTTGTTCAAGCCCTCGCCACCGACAACATGTGGAGGACTTTGAGACAAAAAGGAGAGAAGAAAACACTTCCAAGTGCCAAACAGGAGGCCGACTCGCGGTACACAGGGAACCGTGTATCTATATGAGCACTGCATCCGTTCCTGACTGCGAACAGTCTTAATTAGTTCCTTTTTTCCCTGGAGTACAACAACAAAACACAAAGTGAACCCCAGTTTGGCACAGGTATTACATGAAGAATGAATCATTCGTTAGTATTTCAAATTCATAAGTTAACAACATACTATCTCTTTTCGAAGCTCAAGTATGCTAAACGGTTCTACGGTTTGTTCAAGCCCTCGCCACCGACAACATGTGGAGGACTTTGAGACAAAAAGGAGAGAAGAAAACACTTCCAAGTGCCAAACAGGAGGCCGACTCGCGGTACACAGGGAACCGAGCACTGCATCCGTTCCTGACTGCGAACAGTCTTAATTAGTTCCTTTTTTCCTGGAGTACAACAACAAAACACAAAGTGAACCCCAGTTTGGCACAGGTATTACATGAAGAATGAATCATTCGTTAGTATTTCAAATGAACTAGTAGCAGTGTAAGAGGTGTCTGTGCATAAAGAACTCCGATCGAGGAGAAACCTAGCTAAAATCCAAACCATAAACTTGTGGGGGGGAAAAAACGAACGAGGAAAAATACATCTTAAAGAAATTCTACATCAAACGACTGAACTGAACAGAGAAAACGGTCACAAACGAGGCCAGCGTGAGAGGGCGCTCAACTCCAGAAATGAAACCACACGTCAGTCTCTTTTGAATCGGATAATAACGCAAAACTAAAATGAGCGAATGAAGGCAGCGAGTGGTGTGAAGGGATGAAAGTTAAGAACATGTGGGGGAAAAGAGGAAGGGGACAAATGTGGCTTTTAAAATCTTTAAAAAAAAAATGTCCACCTGTTCAATGAAACGGTCCAGGGCATCTCCCTCTCATCGCTTCCACCTTTCACCCAAAGAATAATAATAAGAGACAAAATAACAAAAAATGCAATTACAATAATAT